ATTTTAAAAGTATTTTAATCGGAAACACAGCTGATAATATTTGGTTTTAATTCGGCTTTTATCGGGGTTTATTTTTTGTATTTTTGTATTTTGTATTTTTTTTGTATTTTGTGTATATTATTTGTTTTTAATATGCTGTGAACCGCCCTGAGTCCTATGGGAGAAGGGCGGTATACAAATTAAAATAATAAATAAATAATAAATAAGAGAGGGACAATCACTTCATAAAATAAGCTGAGCCAACCACCTCCCTCCAGTGCAGCTCTCACTTCAAGCACAAAACTAGGGAGGACTGGGCCCTTTTTCCTCTTCACAAGGCAGCCCCTCTGCCAAAGGAATATGCACGAGGTATCTGAATGATCCTTCTCTCTCACATGCTCCAATTCTAAACTGGAAAATCAATTTTAAATTGGAAGCCCTGCTTTAGAACAATTTGAGTGGCACAACTGGAGAGCCCAAAGAAGACTCACTGGGGACTGATTAAACTCTCCCCTGGCATGGTTATTATGGCATTTTAATCCAAATACAACTCCTGCTTCTATAAACTGAGGCCAGACAGCCAGAGTGAATCAGTTTATTATAGTATTTTAAGGAGGCTGACAGATTATTAGCTGCCTACTCTAGTACATTCTGAAACGTTCCCTAAAAATTAGAGCCAAAATATTTATCGATTAGTTTGTTACCATGGTCTATGTGGCTTCTATAGGAAATTAATTTTAATTGCTTTCTAGTAAAATGACTGTTCAGGTGAATGGGCCACATATCTGCAGTTTGTGAATGATGTCTAAACTGCAGTCGTTCTACCTCTGATGAAAAAAGTCCAGTTGTCAAATTGTTTTCACTGCTTACTCTCAATCTCTGTCAGGCTTCGCTGGGCTTTTTCTGTATCCTCATGCCTCTTTTTCCATTCATCCAGTTCCGTGCGCAAGAAGTCACTCTCATCCAGTGCCTGCTGCTTTAGGTGCTTCTGCTCTTCAAGCTCAGCTTCCAGCTCACTGATACGCCCCTTCAGCTGCATTACCAGGCGGTGACTCTGCAGGTACCATGTTTAAAGAGAGGGTGAAACAGAAAGATCACTGGGAAACCTCGTGATATTGAAGCAATTGTACTGTTCTGGTTATGTACAGTTAAGCACACACTGCAACACATAAATCAAGACTGCATGTCAAGTTGAAACTTGGTCCTTGACTTTGGGACTCTGCCACCATTAGATTTAAAAAAGCGCCACTCCAAAACTTCGTTGTAGAGAAGGCAGACAACATAGACAAACAGAAAAAAGGTAAATTCCATCAATATTTCTGGTTACTGCTTTTGAAAAATGGTCTGCGAGGGAAGTCTCAACTTCCTAGCAGCCTACATGCAGGCTATCAATGCTGCTATATGAGATATTTACTGATAACAGATGCAAAAAACCATATTTTTAACTGGCATGCCTATGGATCAATTCATCCTGGTCTAATGTAATTCAGAGCAGAGGAGGTTAAATGGAAATACCAAAGCAAATGTGAGTTTCTATATTTGGGCTTAGAAAAAAACACCCCTGTAGTAATAGGCTTTAAATTTACCTCAGCTTTAAAGTTCTTGATCTCATCCTTAAGTGTGTCGATTTCTCTGTGCAGCTGTTCAATTAACCTGTCCCTGGAAGGAGGGAGAAACACTTGTACAATTTGGATATTAAAGTTTTTTAAATTGGATGGGAGGAAAGCAAAAGTCAGACCTCATGAACATATACAGATGAAGAAAAGAGCTGAATTAATATATTTTAAGAAAAGGGTCTTGATGCTTCAAAGTAAACACATTAAGTCCTCTGTCACAAGCAATAAAGTTTACAGATGCTTGGCTGTCATGCTATTATTTCTGCTACATGCCATTTATGTGGGGGATTTAGGGCATGGCCAGTGCCAGAAATATTATGCAGAAGAAAAAAATATCCACATTCTGAAGCAAGAAAACATAAACCCCAAAACGAAACAAATTTCTGTTACTGGCTTGTATTGTATATTCCATTTTCACATGCTGCAGAGAGGAACAAGTTACTTATTTCTGTAATTATATTTAGAAGTTATTCTACTCCCATCCCAAAAGGAGGAGTTGCATTTGTCACTGTCCCATACATAAAGCAGAGATTATGAAGATGCTTCCTGGTAAGTTACTTTTTTCATTTTCATTGCACACTGTATATGAAAAAACATCTCTTCAGCAATAATGGAAGTAAAATTTCCTAAATTAATAAAAGGCATAATAATAATAATAATAATAATAATAATAATAATAATAACAACAACAACAACAACAACAACAACAACAATAATAATAATAATAATAATAATAGAGTTGGAAGGGACCCTGGAGGTCTTCTTGTCCAACCCCCTGCTCAGGCAGGAAACCCTATACCATTTCAGGCAAATGGTTGTCCAATAAACACTCACTCACTTGTCATCCTTGGTCATCCCATTCTGGCTGTTAAAGTTAAAGGGATCATTGCTGAAAGAACTGCCAAAGATGTCATCAAATTTATTGTCAACGAGATTCTGGAGAAGAAGATGGAAGCAGTTAGCTTCATGAAAAGATAAACTTGCCTTGCACACCATCCCAACTCAAGGAAAGAGGGATTTGATTTAAATCTCAGGGAATTTTCAATAGAGTGACTAATCAGAAAGAGACGATGGGAACAATTATTGATACTGAAGCATATGTAGGAGCTGAATTTATAGATAGTGAACAGCAGGCATTATTTCTGAATCAGCCACACGGAAGATAATTTCCCCATTATTTTGTCACCAGAAAGACAGTTCAAATCCACTTGATTTCTCCACTCTGCTTCCCCCCCCCCTTTTTTTTTCCAGAGTAACCAGATCTTTCTATTTCATAGAAAACAGCTCTCCATCTATTACTCAAAGCAGAAAATCCTAGGGAAAAAAATCTTAACACTTTCCAACTCTTGAAAATCTCTGTCAACAAGAGAGGCAAAGGAAAAATAGTGACAGAGTTTGCTAAACTGAAATACTATTTCACATCATTATAACCAGAACAAATACCCTTTTCTTGTGATGGGTCTAGATTCTCCATTCTTCAAAGGAACTCTGTCCTTCCACTCACCTGTTGTGAGGAGGTTTCCATCTCAACAAGATCCATGATGGGTTCACTGTCTGGGGATGAGGCTTCCAATGGGATGACCACAACAGGGCTGATGTGTTCAGAGAGTGCTGAGGCCCGCAGAAAGTTGGGGGGATTCTAGTGCAGGGAATGAAGAATGATGCAGAACTGTTGCATTGGAGAGGCTTATTGCATATACTAGGTCAATACTGTAGTGCCCAAGGTTATTGCACATTGCTCATTTTGGCATTCCAAAACTACATCAAGTGGGGAGCAGGGATGTAACAACCTCTATCCCCACCGATAACCAAAAACAATCTTTTCAGAAGCCTCAAAAAAAAAAAAAAAACCTCAAACAAGCACAGAATTGCACCTACAAGAGAGTGAGTGAATAAAGAAAAAACTGGACTTGGAGAGAAGAGAAGATTTTGTGGTAAACAAAGTTTTACTTGGATGCAAAATTTTACTCTGGTGAGTTCAGCCTGAGTAGTGTGGCTGTTGGCACTCTGTTGGGAAGAGAGAAGCCCTCCCCTTTGTTATGCTGAAGAGAGAAAGAGGAGACAAATCACAGCAACTCAGCATTTATTATTCTTTCTTTTCTCTATATAAACTGTATTCGTTTTAATTTTTCAATGTTAACTGCTTAGTTCTTTTTACCATTAACTCTGCATACTTTCAAAGATATAATTGCAAATGAATTACCGGTAGGTGCAATTCTGTTTGCAAAGGTGTTTTTCCCCCAGTCACAACTAATGCATATTTATAAGGATCTATAAGCGTTATAATTTCTGAACTGTATTTTATATGGATTGAATATGAATTTTTATATACATTGAATGATCCTGAAAAAAATGGAATGATCATTTATTCAAGACTTTGTTTATACTACAAGGCTCTGCTTAAATTATAAACTAACCCTCTGGCTGTTACAAAGCAAGGCTATTTACACTAATCACAAAGCAAGACTGCAAATTTATGAGATTATAAACTTATTTACGAGGATTGTAAAACTGTGCCCTAAACTGCAATAAGATACTGCAGATTCTATTTATCTGAAATTATCACTCTACTTTCTTCTGTGAATTACAAACTATAAAGACTACAACATTTTTAGAGGAAAGAACCTCTTCAGTATTATTACAAATTACTATTTTTCTATAATCTTTTACACTAACTATAAGCTAATATTTCCTTTTTTTCTTTCGGCTGAGATGCTATTTTTTCTTTTCAGCTGAGATTTTACTTTTCATCTTTTATTCATATGTCATTTTTTAATACATCTGTGGATTACAAACTACCGTATTTTCCGGCGTATAAGACGACTGGGCGTATAAGACGACCCCCGACTTTTGAGAAGATTTTCAGGGTTTAGAAAGTCATCTTATACGCCGGAAAATACGGTATATCTATAGTGCAACCTCGCTTGTATTTAAGAAATAATGGTTGGAAACTGACCAAAGAGAGAATAGTGAGGACAATTAACCAGCGGAACAGCTTGCCTCCAGAAATCGTGGGCGCTCCATCATTGGAGGCTTTTAAGAAGAGACTAGATAGTCACTTGTCTGAAATGGTGTAGGTTCTCCTGCTTGAGCAGAGGGCTGGACTAAAAGACCTCCAAGGTCCCATTCTATTCTATTCTATTCTATTCTATTCTATTCTATTCTATTCTATTCCATTCCATTCCATTCCACTCTATTCTATTCTATTCCCACTTCCATTTCCATTTCCATTTCCATTTCCTATTCTATTTCTATTACATTTCTACTTCTATTTCTACTTCCACTTCATTCCATTCCATTCCATTCTACTTCAACATTAGCCACAGGAGGGACCAAAAGGAAAACTAAGAACTCCTTGAATTTGAAATTTCCTGACAGTAAGAACAATTAACCAATGAATGGCTTGCCTTCAGCAGTTGTGGAAGCTCGATCACTGGAGGTTTTTAAGAAGAAATCAGACAGCTGTTTGTCTAGAATGGTATAGGATCTCCAGCTTGAGCAGGGGATTGGATTTGCAAACCTCCAAGGTCCCTTTTATTCTGTTATTCATACATCCAAATGTCATGCAGTTCCCTTAAGTCATAGCTGAAGCAGCCTCAGCATAAATACCATGAACAAAAATGAGAATAGCAACTCTATGGATGACATTCACAAAAAGCCATGAACCTCACCTCAGGCAGCTGTGGGATCTGAATCAGCCTTTTGAAATATTGCAGGTTGCTGGAGCGATAGAAGAGATCCTTCAGCCTGCAAAATTTAAGGAAAGATATATTACAGTTTAGCAAATTTTAAACAATCATCTGGCCAGTTGGTCAGATTCAGAGGGAAGCAAAATAAAATGGCAATCCAGAATCAGGCCGGTTATTCAAGGTCAGAGAAGAGACATTTAATAGCAGCAATGTAGAAATGATAATGCAGAGCACTTTCAATACCGGTAGAGGCATATTGACCCATCCTACCACTCACTGTAATTTTTAGATTAAAAAGACAACCCATCTTATTCAGCAAATAACAGCACTGGGGTCCAATGTTGTCCTACTGATAGAATTTTGTATTTATTTAAACTGAATCCAAATTTGTGGGGATTTTGGTACTAGAGTCAAGATTGTTTAGAAAGCTGCCAGTGGAAAAATTAATTAAATCCGTAATGTACAAAACAGACTCCGTGAATTAGGGTTTTTTGAGATTTTTGTGTTGTATTTGCATTTATGGGTGTTCTTATCTCAGCTTCTAATTGTTTAATTTTTTGCATATTTTGTTTTTTGCTTTTCTAAAGTAATTATTGTTAGCTCCTCCAGAAACACTTGTTTGAGATGTACAGCCATATAAATTGAATATGTACATGCATACACAAATGAATAGAATCATAGGGATGAAAGGGACCTTGGAGGTCTTCTAGTCGAATCCCCTGCCCACGATGTATTGCATTCTGGACAAATGGCTGCCCAATCTTTTCTTGAAGACATCCAGTGTTGAAGCACCCAAACTGCAGGAAGCAAGCTGTTCCATTAATGATTGTTCTTACTTTCATGTGGTGCAAACATAAATAGCATATGGTATAAACAGATATTGCTGTCCCTCTTTCATAATATTATAACTAAACTCACCTAATGAGATTCAGGTCAATTAAAAGGAACTATAGCTTGAATATCAGCTGTTGCAAGCAACAAGAATACATGACCATTGTCTACATATTCTATTTATAGTTTTTTACAAATCCATCAGTAGTGTTTCTCTTGGGTTCTTATTTGAATAAAACATGAAGCCAAGACCTTGCTCAGTTGAGGCAGCTCTGGCAAGCTCAGCATAGGAATGAAACATTTTAAATAAGAGCAAGAGCCACTATATCTTGGTGAAAATTTCTTGACCATGTATTCCTCAGTGTTGGCTTACTCAACCATAAAGGAACAAAAGCGTATTGGCATAATACTAGTTTACAAATTCAAAGCAGAGTTGTCACTGACAAATCCTAGAGGGATAAGCCCACAATTCGATTACAGATAAAGGATACTATTTATTTCAAAAGGAACAGAAATAAAATTAAAAATAAACATTTGACCTGTTTGTAGAAAGTATCCATTCCTGCTTAAACATCCAAGTAAATTTATATGGTAGCACTGGAAAGAGCATTTACCGGTAGGTTAAAATAAGTGGGGAATAAATCAAGCAATTGCTATCATACATCCAGTTAAAGATAAGATTTGGAGGAAGCCTTTCAAATATATATATGCAAATTTTTCAAAAAGACATAAAATAGTAATGCTAAAAAATTCTAATTATTTTGACTAGCTGGGAACACTCTGCCAAGCTTGGTCCCTCCAGGAAATTCCTGAGTTGCCTTGCTAATCATTTTCTATTTCAGAAAATGAAAGATCAGCTATATTTGTCTTTATGTTAACACACTAGTTGAGGAAGTGGAACTAACAGAAATATTGTAGGAAAATTACCATATAATGATGGAATTCTTGATTTTAATTAGAACTAAAGGCAAGTGTAGGAAAATGTGCATCTTGGACCTTTAAAATAGTAGACTTTAATAATCTAAGCAATCACAAGTATGATTAGAGAAATTAAATACAAAACAGAGTTCAAGGTGTATGACAGGTTCTAAATATACTGAAAGCATAATTGAAAATAATTCTGTTAAGGGCAAATTAAAGAAAGAAGCAGCCAAAAAATGATAATATTGAAACAAAAAAGGACACATATAGGAAATGAAAAGAAGGTCAGGTCTCTAAGACAAGCTATATCCAAATAATCTAGAACCATAAAGAGGGTGTCAAGAAAGCTAAATAGAATAAGCTCACCATTTCTTATTTTTATTAGATCCTATAAAAATAGGGAAGAAAGCCAGTTTGGCATAGTGGTTATCAAAACACTACGCTAGAAACCAGGGAATAAGTTTTAGTTCTGATTTAGGCACAAAGTCATCTAAATGAGTGACCTTGGGCAAGTGACTCTCATTTAGTTCTAAGAAGAAGGAAATAGCAACCACTTCAAAAAAATCTTGCGAAGAAAACTGCAGACTAGTCTAGGCTATTGTCAGGAGTCAAAATTGATTTGATACTACCTCCCCTCATCATTACTGTATAAAATACCCAGGGTGCATAGGAAAATTCTACACCTCCCTACTGCTTGAAAATACTAATCCCACTACAACTAATAATGTTGCCAAGGTTTGTCCAGCAGTGCTTAAAATCTGTCAGATGATGCCTGTGCCATAAATTGGTCTTAATGAGCATTTAGTTTGTTTAAAAGTGCTTTGTAATGTGATAGATTTAGTTTGCTATGTATTAACTTTTATGGTCACCTACATCCATCTAACATTCCTACCTCTCCCTTTAGATTTTTTTAGACTCTTCTTTATGTTCTTTTTTAGACTTTTATATACATTTTATATTTTTATGGCTTTTTTTCTTTTAAATTAGACTTTGATATATCTTTTATGCTTTTTAATCTGTGAATTCCACCCTCTTTTGTCGGTGTGTATTTGTATGTGTGTATACATTTTAATATCTTTTTTAAAATATCATTTTTTAAATTAATGTTTGTATTCCACTCTCCTTATGCTGGTCTATGACCATAATAAAGACATAACTTCAAGGGACACATTTGTTAATAGAAGTTAAAAAGTCCTAACTCTTGATTTGATGGCTGTAAGGAGTTGAATGAGGAGAAAACAGAAACATAGTCAAAATGAGAAGTAGTGTTGATCAGGGGACTTGCTCATCTGGGAACTAGTATGCAGCCTATTTTGACAGGGCTGGTTCCTTCTGAATATAGGTTCAAAGGAAATTCCTTAATCAGATAGTACTATGAAAGAGCACATCCACACCGTCAAAATTTACACAGCCCATTCCCTCATAAGGTAATTTGAAATTTGAAGCATAGTCAACATCATCCTAACATCTAATTAGGTTGAACATTACCAATATTTGTGGTACTTGTAAGTTTAGAACATAATCCAATGAGTGCTCTCCCTTTTTCCTTCTAGTGGACCAATAGAAGAAAGTAAACAATATATTTTCATTGGTGTTCTCTCCCTGAATTACCACTGGTCATGAAAAATAAAAATCTCCTTACCATATCACACAAAAAGAAATAACCCTTCCTTTCTATGACCTCTATTTTTTGTACATATTATTTATTTATCTGGGACATTTGTATGCAACATATCTCACAGTTCTATTTATAGATATTTTTATGGCCTGCCAAAATAAATCAATAAATCTTAAATTGCTGTGGAGGGAAAGTCAATGTCCTTGTAATTTACAAAGGTGGCAGGACAGCATACACCAGTTTTTCATCCAGGTACTTGGCAGTGACCAAAGCTGCACATTACTCTGCCAGTTGGGGGAGGGAGGGGACGGGACGTGAATGATGCATATATGAAAAGAGATCAGAACAGCTTTAGGAATAGGGAACGTGTATGGGGAAGAACAGCTTTATTGCACCTGCTGTACAACAATTGAGTTGGATTCAGGAGCTGAAAGTAGGGGGAAAATTCCCTCCAATGATAATATTACCAACAAGAGTGCATAACTGCAGCAGGAGATCCCTGGAAACTTTGTGATTCAAAAAAAAAGTGAACCCAATACCACTTTCAGCTCAATAACCAAATATAGATAATATCATGAGAATAAATCAGATATTGTACTGAGCCCAAATGGTTCAAAACATCAATTTGTTAAAGATTTATAGTGTCAGAAAATAGAAATATTTTTAGAAACTTCAAATCCCGTGGCAGAGGCCAGTGTGTGTTTCTAACACATGTTAAAAATAAAATACAGGTAGTCCTCGACGACCATTCAAAGTTACAACAGCACTAAAAAAGGTGACATGACTGTTTTTCACACAACCGCTGCTGCATCCCCATGATCATGTGATCAACTGACTCATATTTACAACAGTTGCAGTGTTCTGTGGTCATATGATCACTTTTTGCACCTTCTGGCAGGCAAAGTCAATGGGGAAGCCAGATTCGCTTAACAACCGGGTTACTATCTTAACAACTGTAGTGATTCACTTAACAGCTCCGGCAACAAAGGTTGTAAAATGGGGCACAATTCATTTAACCACTATATCACTTAGCAACAGAAATTTTGGGCTCAATTGTGGTCGTAGGTCGAGGACTACCTGTAATGGATTGCTAGAGAATTCTTTATTCTTTATCCAATTTATCCAATTCTTTGGATTCTTAGAGTAGAGTAGAGCAGAAATTATCTTGAAATGCAACAGTGCTGTGTTTTAGTTCTGGTTCTGCATTTAGAGATAAGATAAGATAACCTTTATTGTCATTTTTTTACTGTGGGCACAACGGCACACATCAAAAATGAAATGTAGTTGCCCGCTTTCAAAGTGAAACACATACATGATACACACCTAAACATACTATATACAACATATGTATAGATCCACACCTCTACATATACATAACAAATAAATATTAAATACTGTCCATCTTGAATATATAACGGAAGGAGGAAGCTTGAGTGTTCACAAGGTTAATGCTGTATGGAATGAAACTATGGCTGAATCTGAATGTTCTGCTGGATGTTCTATGTTTCACATAATATTTCCCCAAAAGTCACTCATTCTAACACCTTGCCTCCTGCAAAGTTGAGAACTGTGCATTTTCCAACAATCAGACAGAACAACTGACTATTTATATTCAGTGGGCTGAATATAAACAGCCCATTGAATATAAATGCATAGTGACTACTTTCCTAGCCATTATATAGGCATATTCCCTCCTCATCTCAACAAACAACTCCCTCCCCCCACAAACACACTCACTTTTTAAACTGCTCCAGGAAACGGTCTCTGTGGCCTTGGAGTGTATCAGCTGGGAGACCTAGAGAAAAGATATGAAGAGAAAGAGTGAACAGGAGAATATTTGGATGCCTCAGCTAGCCATATCTGTGTGGACATGCAAACAAGAGAATCTGAGAGGCCAAGCGGCACTGCCTAGCAGCTGTGACTCACACAGAACGAGACATGTCCAAGGCACTGAACACTGAAGGGGAACTACACCAGCAGCATGGATTATTTCAATTATCTTGACAGGATGGATAAATTACGAAGATATGTATAAGGCCTTTCTTTTCAGGTTGCAAAATGCCACATCCTTTGCCTTTAAAACCATTGCTCTTAAGGTCAGATTGAGGGACTGTCTCAGTTTACTCTGTGATATACTGTATATGGTAAAAAAATATCACTGTCTACTATTATACCTCATGTTCCAAGACACTCCTATAATGACTGAATGAATGATTCACGTCACATTTAATTACATCTAACTTTATCACCTTTCCTCTACCCTCACTGAATTTATTTTAAAAAATAAACAAACAAATCCAATGTGGAAACAATAATACTGGCCTATCTCAAGTGAGACTGTATTTCTAAAATATATTTGTGAAACAATTTCAAGATTAAAACAAAAGCAAAATATGATGAATTTTAATATATTATTCCCAGGACATTTTTACTGTATAGTAATAAAACCTTGTAGGAGATCAGATGGAGAATGTCCTTGTCATCCTAATTACTGTAGCTAAAAAGAATGAAAGTGGTGATCGAATTCAGGCCAAAAAGGAATAGATAGATTTGTACTTACAGGAATGTAACTTGAACAGCAATTTTACTGTGTAGTCATAGAGGTGGCTGCAGTCTAGAATAACCTGAATCAGAGGGGCCAAGCGGCACTGCCCGGCAGCTGTGACCGACACAGAGCGAGACATGTCCAAGGAACTGAACACTGAAGGGGAACCACACCAGCAGCATGGATTATTTCAATTATCTTGACAGGATGGATAAATTCATGTTCTAATCACAGGAAAAAAATCCCTCCAGAAATGCCATAAATAACAATACTCTACAAAAGAGGGTCACAGAATCTAGAGTGGCAATAACAAAAGTTAACAAAGTTAAATTTGAGGAAAATTGCTCCCAAAAAAGAGAGTAAATGTTAAATATGAAGTCAAAAACGGGAAAAAATGACTTAGGGTGGTGAGGGGAGGGGGAAAGAGCTAGCGATCTTATGGCTGCTTTACATCTCTGCAAATATTAAAGACAGTTGTTTTAGCTGTCAAAAGTTCTCCAAAGCAAAGTACAATTTTACACTTGGGGTGCAAAAACAGGGTAATGGAGGACATAGACCATGGGCCACCCAATCTTCACTAGAACAACTGACTGTATACAACAAGGAAGGCAAGAGAAGAGAACACAAATACAATAAAATCCTGAAAATTATGCAGCACAAGGAGGGTCCAAGCAACGAGCAGAGAAGCATTAAAAATGTCAACCAAGAGAAAGGATTTACTGACTCTTAAAAACTGAAGAACTGATTTAATTCCTAAATGATTAAAGATAAGAACTATACATTATTAAAATATCTTTCATATTAGAACCAAAGTTCTACAGAACCAACTGTCTATAGTAGCAGAGAGCAAAAGCCTGTGTTTCATGAGATTCAGAGTGCTAAATAATTTGCAGCGACAGTTGTTGCTCAAGAGAAAGAGTGAAAGAATGAGGAAAGGGACAGATACTGGCCACACATCAGCAGTAGGCAAATTCTATGTCATGAACCAAGATATGCAGGGTATCCATCTTAGTAGCAGGAGGAGACAGAGAAGCAGGGGAAGGGCCCTTTTCCCAACCTGAAGTCTACTTAAGATGTCTGGAAAGGGCATATTTACTCCTCTTAGTCTGGAATGGATAAAATTATGAAACACTGATGTTACAGTTTTTCCTTCAGTTTAATGAACTTAAAATATTCTTTTTTGATGTTAGGCTTATCTGCAGAGCAAGCACAGAAGAATCACAAAAATCAGCAGCTGAAAAAGGCTTTGGATTATGTGGAAAAAATCCAGAGAAGATGCCTGTATAATCCAACTGCCTAGCCTCAAGAGTATGTGATTATTATTTTATTTGGTTTAGCTTACATTTAATAATGAGCACAAATATAATATTTTTTTCACATTAGTTAGGATGATGAATTCACGGCCCTCACAATGCCCTTAAACTTCTCAGGATCCCTTACAACTGATCATTTTGTTGTGGATGCTGGGAATTGGAGTTCATATGTAACATTACCAGTTCTGTAACCTAGGTTTTGTCTCTCGTCAACTAAAATGCCTATTTGTCTCACACTGGAACAGAAGAAAAGTTTAGGATAACTTCTTATGAACCATGATCCCCAGTAAGGAGATAGAAAATGCATGTATATAGGAACTTACAAAGAATGAACAAATAACTTCTGGAAAGTATCTTGCTATAATATTTAAAATTGTTGACCTTTGTAAAACGTTACCTGTCTGAAATAGGTTGAGTTCACATTCCAAATAGTCAAACATTTCCACAGTGAGCTGGAAACTAAAATAGAAAGAAGAGATTGAATGGAGACTCACACAAAGTAAAATGAAGGTTCAACTTGGCAGAATCACTTTGTGTTTTTGTTGTCCAAGAGAGTAAACTAACAATATTCTGCACAGCAATCCAACAATATTGCAAAGGAAAACTCTGGAAGAACCCACAGATGATGCATACAACCTGATTTTTAATCTTTCTGGTTTACCTGAAAAAGAACCCCACAACTAATTGTCCATCTTTAAATCCACAACTGCCCCATATTTTGCACCAAGTAGCACTTACAAGTTATTCACATCATTCTCGCCCGTCTCATCAAGCTGTCTGTCTGACATCTGGAGGTTTCCAGGGAATCTGGGATTCTATACAAAAGGAAACAAAGATTAAGAATAGTTATTAGGACTTTGGATCAAGGCAGGTGATGGATAATATGCTCCTGCCGGATACTGTTCTCAGATTCAGCTGAGTTTCAGTGCCCAAAAAGCAAAGAGGATAACTGGGTTGAAAGAAAGACTGCTTAGCAATTTAATCACTTTGGACAGTATAAGGCTTTGTCTATAAAAGAAGCATATGTATCTCCTTCCCTCACTCTACTCTTAAACTGAAGTGAGTGCATCTTTGAATCTCATTTTGGAATGCAGAGAAGGAGACAAAAAAGCATATTTCTTAATGATAGAGAATCATAAACAGCAACTCCAAAAGAAACAAGAGAACAGTAACAACAAAGACTTGCCTACAATGCAGGCTTTAAGAAAACAGAATCTCAAAAAAAATCAAAAAAAAATCCAGGCAGCTGGAAATGTTGGTGCTTTGCCAGAGATTCAAAAGCAGTAATTCATTACTGTCCTTCTATTCACAGGCATCCTCCAACCATAAGAGGAATTACCTTCCCTCACACATACATATAAGCTACATTTTGCTTGCCTGTGAAACTGCTTATAAAATCAGAGGCCTGCTCTCATGAAGATGCTCATATAATCCAAGCTTCCTATTCCAACTAGCCACATTCCATTCTATAAATACATGCTGCTACCTCCACTCCCAAATGTGATAGAGCCTTGAGTCAATGGGATGGCCTGGAGCTAAGCATAAAATAAACTACAATGCAAGTTAAGAAGTGGAGGGAAGCCTATAGAATAACATTAAGAAGGCTATATATGAATGATAAGTGACAGATAAAGTGGGGAAAAAACAAAGGTCTACTCACATCGCTACGCGTACCTCATTTATATGTGTTTTATTTACAAGTGAATGCATATACACATGCATGTATCACAGTCCTCTTTCTCCTCCTGTAATCAACAATTCTGACCCTAAATTCAGATACCTGGGGACACAACTCTTACAGATCAGAGAATCTGAAGTGGCTGATCCATATCTTCCTCTAAGATATATGGGGGGGAAATATATTTGGTTGTGTTAATCATGAGAATAGGCAACACTACGGTGAGAAATTTGGGGGAAGGTTTCTCTGTCTCCCAAGAAAGAAATCCTTCTCAAGCAGGCAGGGATATTGATTAGACAATTCTGATATTAAAATGCTATCAAGATCAGCCTGTATCAGATGCTGAAGTATACTATAAAGATAGCAATCAGATTAAAAAATTAACAAGAAGAAATGTGGCAGAGTTCCAACTATTCATCCTCTCTAGCACATTATGTATGGCAGACATGTCAAACTCGCGATGTCATGTGATGTCACGCAACATGTCGGGACTGTTTTGCCATTGCCAGCAATGGGGTGGGCGCAGCTTCTGTGTGATGCGTCTGGACCATGGGCCGGCAGTTTGACACCCCTGATATATGGGATCAATAAATTAGTATTATACTACAAATCTCCTGGACAGTTAAAAGAGCCCTTATTCTTCAATAAAAGCAACCAGAACTACAAATTACACAAACATAGTCCATAGTTCAGAATATTCTGTTGTCTTCAAAATGAATGATATGCATAAAGGCTACAATATACTCTTAAAAACTCTGGAATCTTATTTATAAATTAAAGTCTATGTTTTTCATCAAGGACGTTGCTCCTACTTCTACCCTTGTTTGGACACCGAGTTCGGGCTACTGTTCATCCCATGGTCTCTACAGCTATCCAAAGTGTTTTGCAGAGAAAAAGAAAATGGCGAGATACCTCGTTCTCCAATAGAAGTGCAGAAGCAATAAAGAAAAACTTACTTTTGTGTGGAATTCCATCTTGGTTCTCAGCAATTTGAGGTAGATGCTACACAATTGTCCATAACCCTCACTCAAATGACCCTAAGGAAAAAAAATAAAGTAACAAGTCTAGATCAATCTCTTAATACAGGGGTCCCCAACCCCTGGGCCATGGCCCCACTACTGGGCTGTGAGCCATTCAGAATCAGACTGCCCGAAGCAGTGGGCAAGCGCATGCCACTTGCGCAAATGGAACAGTGTGCACTTGCATGCCGCTCGTGCAGAACCATTGCCTCTTCCGCTCCCACCGGTCCGCAAAGCCAGAAAGGTTGGTGAACTTTGTCTTAATAGCTTTATTTACACAATGGTTTAAACTGGGGAGAATATAGTGGTACCTCATAGCCCTTTGTGTAAAAGTATATCATAACCACATTGAGCATTATTTCAATTAGCTCAAAGACACATTAAATGTATATTTTACTTTTTCTTCTCTTATCCCCACTGGTATGGCACCACTGACAATATCTGTCACTGATCTCCACAAATGTTGTGCTGGTTAGGTCATATCCACATCTACCAAAACACTCTATTTTAATAGGGATTTATCAGCCAAGTAGAAAATAGTTTTTTTAAGAACCTTACAAACTGCCAGCATTTTTGGACAAAACTCAGAAGCAGGGGTCTACTGCTGCCATCAATGGGTCAATTTCCTTGGCATTTATACCTTCCCCCCTTTCAGAGTAAAAAGATACACATATTCTCCACTTAGCTACCTTTTACCCATCAAATTCCTGTGCATATAACTGTTAAAACTACAACAGTATATTTTAAAATAAAGCTATATTTTTTTTATTCTCTATATAGTATCCTATTTAGTTATAAAAATAAAAACCTGTGAAGTACTGCTGTAGCTAATATCCAGAAGACAATTATCACTTCCAACGCTTGAGAAAAGTCTACATGCTAACTTGGCAAACACAGATCTCTACATACCTGCTAAGAGCAGGGATACAGAAGAGAGCTTGTGAGTGCCAGTTTGTGCTTCTTTCCATGTAGAACTTTGATTTCATTTTTACAGTTAATAATAAACCAATTCATTTCTTTCTAAATATGAAAAAAAACCATTTCCATTATTTTTATTCAATCCTAAGTTTTCAATGTCCCTTAAAGGAAAAAAGCAGCAACATACACTCTTATATGGAGTCTCTTTCCTCACCTGAGATAGTCTTTCTCTAGATCCACTAAACACTCAAGAAACTGACCAGCAAGAAAAAGATAAACAGACCAGTAAAGCTAGAAAACTATTAACAGCTAGTATATGCACTGCTTCCCAGTGAGTATTGGTTCAACAAATAAGATAACAAAACAAGCACAACAAGAAATGCCACATCTTCCATCCTCTAAATTTAGCTCACTGATCTGTGGATCTTCTCTAGCCTAAATTTTCAGAAAATATATTACATTAACCAAATGGCCTCAAACAACTCTATGCCCTCCTGATTTCAAAAGGAACAAGAACTTGAAAGTTATGTTTATTAGTAAGAGAAGCAGTTCTTTGTAGGGCCAAAGAATACTTACCCACATGCGGCTCATGTCACTGAGCTCACTCTTGTATCTCACAGAATCCTTCAAGACCTTCAAAAAGAAGGGAAATGGGCTATTTGAGCAGCTACTGAATGCCCCCAGTACAACAGAACCACCAGAAAAAAATGAATGTAAGAGATTAAGGTTGGCAAATAGGTTAATCAACTGTGTAATATGGTCAACTGAAAGAAAAGGGGGACATGTAGAAAGAAGAATGGTTGGCTTTGCTTCAATACCTATTATATGCCTATCATATACTCAAATCTGAGCTATTGTTAAGGATTGGCTCTAAACTGTAAACTGGAAAGTGGTTTTAGATCTTGCAATAATGTGTATATTTAACTATTTCATTGGCACATAGGAAACACGTCCAGAGTGCCAGCTTTGTACTTCTCTAGCCTGTGTGCTTGCATACGAAAATCAAATTGTGCAGATGTCTCCTGGTGTCATCAGGAATAGTTTTGTTCAATATATTAAATAATGTTCTTTTTGTTGGATTTGGAATTTAGAATTATAATCTGGAGGACAACATTAGTTAGTGTTAATCATGGTCAAACATTATGTCTCTACTGTACTAATATTTGCAACTATCATAAAGTGAAGTCTCCAGATTTGAAAAAATGAGGTTTGTGTGGAGTAAAGCAAACTGTTAAAACAATATAATAATAATAATAATAATAATAATAATAATAATAATAATAATAATAATAATAATAATAATAATAATAATAATAATAATAATAATAATAAAAAGTTGGAAGGGACCTTGGAGATCATCTAGTCCAACCCTCTGCTCAGGCAGGAACCCTACACCATTTCAGACAAATGGCTGTCCAGTCTCTTCTTAAAAACTTCCAGTGTTGGAGCATACACCGCTTCTGGAGGCAGGTTGTTCCATTGGTTAATTGTTCTAACTGTCAGGAAGTTTCTCCTTAGTTCTAAGTTGCTTCTCTCCTTGATCAGTTTCCATCTGTTGCTTCTCGTCCTGCCTTCCAGGCGCCTTGGAGAATAGCTTGACACCCTCTTCTTTGTGGCAGCCCCTGAGATATTGGAACACTGCTATCATGTCCCCCCTCGTCCTTCTCTTCATTAAACTAGACATACCTAGTTCCAGCAACCGTTTCTTATATGTTTTAGCCTCCAGTCCCCTAATCATCTTTGTTGCTCTTCTCTGTACTCTTTCTAGAGTCTCAGCATCTTTTTTACATCGTGGTGACCAAAACTGGATGCAGTATTCCAAGTGTGGCCTTACTAAGGCATTGTAAAGTGGTATTAATACTTCACGTGATCTTGATTCTATCCCTCTGTTAATGCATTACATTACATTAAGAAATTATGAGAGAATATTAAATCTGAACGTATTCTATAACCAACAAGTTCAAAAATTAATCACTTGTTATACTCCTCCTATTTGATCTAAAGATGGCCATACTATCTTTTAATGCTAAAAACATTTCTATTACACATTTTAGATTTTACCAGGTTCACTTAAGAGTTTAATGGTGACATTATACTGAGATATGCTATCTATTTCATCTTACTAAAAAAAGCAAAAGTTTTAGAGGAAAAGAAAAGAGGGTATGGCCTTACATTTGGGTGTCCATCACGGAGAAGCTTGTGGAAGACATGGCAAAACTTCCAGCACAGGACAGCATTGCTGGAAAGGGGTAGGCGGTTTACAACAGACCAGAAGGTGTGGGCTCCTTTTTCATGGTGTGTTCCCAGGATGCATGGTGGGAGACAAGCTAAGGAAAATGAGAGAAAGGCAGCACAAGGGATATAGAATAATGAAAAGAAAGAGTGGCAATGAGCAGGATTGAAGCGAGGCCTTGAAAATCAAGTTCTACCAGATCTATCTTAATATTTCTTAACCGAATTCACAGATATATCCCTTTCTTTCATTCTCCGGCAACATGATAAGAATTACAGAACTCCAGATGGGAAACTAGCCTGAAGATAAACGGGGAAAAGCTCTGACCTATTGTAGTTATGGTATGTCATCCATACCAAGCTGGAGTTTCTTTCATTAGGAGTCATCAATTATCCTTCCAGATGTGAGAAAATATCCCAGATATTCCAGGAACTGATGGCTTCTCAGGGCAGACTAGATTTGCAATATTCAAGCTAAGAATCTTGGAGAAAATTTTCCACCCCTAAATAACAAATTTGTGAAGCAGCAATTAAGCCCATGTGCAACTATGGGATGAATGAAACTATGTAAACCAACTGCACATAGTGAACCAAATATCGTCAACTCCTTCTACTAACAGCATGTTTACTCCAATATGGCCCTACAAAGCTTGCTTACTGGGACCTTGAAAACCGGAGCAAAGGGATGCCAGATGTCGTCTTAAAACTCAAATCTTGCTCATGTATTCTTTTTCAGGTGGGGAGGAGCACACTGTCACAGCATGTACTTTTTTTTCAAAGAAAAGTTAGGAGCAAGCTCCTATTCATACTATAATACAGGTATTTCATTCCAGTCCATCACAGACAGGTCATGATGGAATTTGACTCCAGCCAGATATATTCCACTTTTCCAGTTTCAGCATTCTTTTTCCAGAGCTCTAATTTTAAAAGGATATTTCTGGCATGTTTCTCTTTGACAGCAACTTCCTGAGCATTAATGGCCTTGTTGATGCTGACAGTCTTTAAGAGAGAGAGAGAGAGAGAAGAAAAAGGAGACAAATGTTATTAGAAAAAATGTGATCATATCAAGACAGAAGCCCATCCTCACAACAAGCCCTCCATAATCTGCAAATTCCTGGACACATTTTTGGGAAGCAACTATGGGGTTGCCATATTTAGCAACTGCCAAGAAATGTTTGCTTAAAGCAGTGCAAAAACTCCAGTCAAAATAAAAAAGAATTCCTATGCTGGAAGAAGGCAAAATCAGTCCATCTTGGTTGGTACAAGAGCACAAGAGGCAGATAGTAATTATTGCTCTAACTCTTTCAAGTTTGTTAATTTATAGCCCCTTATTTTCCACTTGTTATAAACATAAAGTTAGTTTTGTTTGGTTCATAAATTGATGAATCAGTATCAATACCAACATTTTGGGAATGCAGCATGACAACCAACTGACACCAACTTCACTTTTATGGCATGTTTAAGAGGCAGAACCAGACAGTAAGTTGCCCTGGTCTATTTAGCTACCATAATATGTAGGAAGACCTGTTCACCTGCTGGTAGTCCAATGATGTGCTGAAAACTGCCAATAGAAGGCAAGGAATTGGGTGAAAAGAGAACTATGTTGAGATATGATAGAAAGACTCTCAATTTTGCTTATATGTAAGCCAGCAGGTTTTGGCTTAAACACAACTGAAAGCAGTTCCAAAGAAATTTAGACTGCCTTTATAAAATACTGTAGCCTTATTTTAATAGATTTTTTTTATTCGTTAGCAGCCATCTCCATTAAAAAAAACTCCTGCAGGAGATCTTGGGACAGCCTCATAATCACTTTAAAGTGGCTTACCATTTTACAAAAATGGAATGGAGGGACATTTTTCACTAGTGTATATAGCTCCTAGAAAAAACAAGTAATTTCAACAATTAGAAAACAACTCTGTTTGTGAGGTCTCTTGATGGAGATAAACAACACAGGAATAATTATATGTTTTGCCATCTTTGTATCCAGTTAAAGTGAACTAAGGCTGTCACCCCAAATGACCCAGCATTGTCCATTACCTTGCTCCACATTTGGATATCATAAAAGGAAGTATAACTTGCTTTCATCTTTGGTAAAAAAAAAAAAAGCATTTTTAAAAACATCCTATTGTCACATTGGATATCTACTGTTTCAGTTCATAGAACAGTAGGGTCTAGTCTAGGGTCAAATGGACTCCCAAGCCTCAATTATCTGCTGCTGCTAAATTGAATCAAAACATACTGTTCATCCATTTATGTCATAGCTGGTGAACAGAAGATCCACAATCACAAGCAGCAACGGAACCTCCATTTTATAGATCCTAAGCAGTTGTTAGTCAAGATTTAAAAAACAATGGCATGGTTGCCTGCCATTCAAGGAAAACATAGACAATATAAATCCTAAAACAGATTTCCATAGTGAAAATGGCATCTTAAGGTATAACTCTGGAGACAAAAAAGGCAGAAAACATTGACCGTATCCATATGCATAACAAGGTTCTTCTCAATTTACATCATCATTTTATTGCTACAACACTTAACTGCTTTTAAAATGTCTTTACTTATTATCTCCTGTGCTATAAGCTACACGGAGAATCCATCCTGAATGACCTAAAACAAAAGGCCTCAGGAAATGACGAAAGTAGGGTATCAGGACCATCATGTCCTGTTCTTGTGCTGGGAGATGCAGTCTTTTGTTTTGGGATACTCAAAAATGATTTTAATATGTGACCGACAACAAAGGTGGTTATAAACTGAGGAGGAACTGGAAAGATTAATAATTGATTAATTTACAACCAAGTAAGTAGGATGAAGGGGGGTTTCCCCTTTTTTCATAAACTTCTAGGATTCTGACATAGGGAAAAAAATAGTCATGACTCAGAAATCCAAAGTGAACATTATAAAAATCTTTCTTATTTTAACACATAACCACAAGAAGGAAAACTGAAAAACTAAAACATTTAATGAAAGCACTCCTAATGCTGGGCCACTGTGCTTATGCAGGGAATCTGAAACATTCCCTTGGGCATTTGCAATATTTGAGAACCGGATCCTGCCTCTTAGGAAGCTAAGAATGTTTTTCTTCCTGACTCTGCCAAGTAGAGTCTAGATTTAAACTCTTTGGAAAGTCATCAAGTTCTCTTTTTAAAACCACAGAGATCCTTGATCTTTTGCCTTGTTATGAAGTATTTAAACCTCCCCTGACATTTTACAAAGGAACATTATCAATTGGAGGGGGAGGGAAGGAAGGAAGGAAGGAAAAAGGAAGTTGCATTGACCAAGTGGACAGCCAATACTGCAAATGCAACTCCGAAAAAGCTTTCCTTTGGAGGAATTCTAATCACAGCTGCAGAGTTGTGAATGAGATTTCTCTGACT